AATACTTTGTGAATACTTTGTTATACTTTGTGAATACTTTGTGAATACTTGTTATACTTTGTTACTTTGTGAATACTTTGGAATACTTTGAATACTTTGTGATACTTTGTTATACTTTGTGAATACTTTGTGAATACTTGTTGAATACTTTGTTATACTTTGTGAATACTTTGTGAATACCTTGTGAATACTTTGTTATACTTTGTGAATACTTTTGTATACTTGTGAATACTTTGTTATACTTTGTTATACTTTGTGAATACTTGTGAAATACTTTGTGAATACTTTGTGAATACTTTGATATACTTTGTTATACTTTGTGAATACTTTGTTATACTTTGTTATACTTTGTTATACTTTGTGAATACTTTGTGAATACTTTGTTATACTTTGTTATACTTTGTGAATACTTTGTGAATACTTTGTGAATACTTTGTTATACTTTGTTATACTTTGTGAATACTTTGTTATACTTTGTTATACTTTGTGAATACTTTGTTATACTTTGTGAATACTTTGTGAATACTTTGTTATACTTTGTGAATACTTTGTGAATACTTTGTTATACTTTGTTATACTTTGTGAATACTTTGTGAATACTTTGTGAATACTTTGTTATACTTTGTTATACTTTGTGAATACTTTGTTATACTTTGTTATACTTTGTGAATACTTTGTGAATACTTTGTGAATACTTTGTTATACTTTGTTATACTTTGTGAATACTTTGTGAATACTTTGTTATACTTTGTTATACTTTGTGAATACTTTGTGAATACTTTGTTATACTTTGTGAATACTTTGTTATACTTTGTGAATACTTTGTTATGCTTTGTGAATACTTTGTTATACTTTGTGAATACTTTGTGAATACTTTGTTATACTTTGTGAATACTTTGTGAATACTTTGTTATACTTTGTGAATACTTTGTTATACTTTGTGAATACTTTGTGAATACTTTGTTATACTTTGTGAATACTTTGTGAATACTTTGTTATACTTTGTGAATACTTTGTGAATACTTTGTGAATACTTTGTTATACTTTGTGAATACTTTGTTATACTTTGTGAATACTTTGTTATACTTTGTGAATACTTTGTTATACTTTGTGAATACTTTGTTATACTTTGTGAATACTTTGTTATACTTTGTGAATACTTTGTGAATACTTTGTGAATACTTTGTGAATACTTTGTGAATACTTTGTGAATACTTTGTGAATACTTTGTTATACTTTGTGAATACTTTGTGAATACTTTGTGAATACTTTGTTATACTTTGTGAATACTTTGTTATACTTTGTGAATACTTTGTTATACTTTGTGAATACTTTTGTTATACTTGTGAATACTTTGTGAATACTTTGTGAATACTTTGTTATACTTTGTGAATACTTTGTTATACTTTGTGAATACTTTGTTATACTTTGTGAATACTTTGTTATACTTTGTGAATACTTTGTTATACTTTGTGAATACTTTGTTATACTTTGTGAATACTTTGTTATACTTTGTGAATACTTTGTGAATACTTTGTGAATACTTTGTGAATACTTTGTTATACTTTGTGAATACTTTGTTATACTTTGTGAATACTTTGTTATACTTTGTGAATACTTTGTTATACTTTGTGAATACTTTGTTGAATACTTTGTTATACTTTGTGAATACTTTGTTATACTTTGTGAATACTTTGTGAATTTGTTATACTTTGTGAATACTTTGTTATACTTTGTGAATACTTTGTTATACTTTGTGAATACTTTGTTATATTGTTATACTTTGTGCATACTTTTAACATTCTTTGTTATCCAGTGAGCCTCGAGATTTGGACTTTGTTATACTTTGTGAATACTTTGTTATACTTTGTGAATACTTTGTTATACTTTGTGAATACTTTGTTATACTTTGTGAATACTTTGTTATACTTTGTGAATACTTTGTTATACTTTGTGAATACTTTGTGAATACTTTGTTATACTTTGTGAATACTTTGTTATCGAATACTTTGTTATACTTTGTGAATATTTCGGCTGCATCATTAAACATTCTCCAGGAGCCTCGAGATTTGGAGCCATCGTCTTAACTGGCCACTTTGGAAAGCAAAACAGGACCATAATTATTCTCAACAATTAAAGTTTTGAAAGACGTGCTGGCTGCGTGCATGAAGTAGTTTGATTGATTGTAGGTAACATAGTTATGTTGGTGGGAGTCTAGTGTATAGATGGAAGCACGGGTGCTATAAACTTATATTTAATAACAAAAGCCACTAATTGTGACCAATAATGTACGAATAATAACTATGGTGTGTCGCCAAATATGTATATGTATATATATATATGTTATAACAGTGAAAAATATGTATAAATATGTATAACTGAAAAATAGTTATAAATATGTATATAACAGTGAAAAGAAATGTACGAAAGATCGAGAAAATTCGTGTTAGAATTATTAATCTTACTTTTTCGGTCATATTTAATATATATATATATATATATATTATATATATATATATATATATATATATATATATATATATATATATATATATATATATATATATATATGTCGTACCTAATAGCCAGAACGCACTTCTCAGCCTACTATTCAAGGCCCGATTTGCCTAATAAGCCAAGTTTTCATGAATTAATATTTTTATTTTTTTTACCTAACCAACCTAATCTAACTAACCTAGCTTTTTTGGCTACCTACCTAACCTTACCTATAAAATAGGTTAGGTTAGGTTAGGTAGGGTTGGTTAGGTTCGGTAGATATATCTACGTTACTTTTAACCAACCCTACCTAAAAAAATTGACCTATATTTAGAGAAAAGGGTTAGGTTATCATGTCATAGGTTAGGTTAAAAAATTATAGAAAATATATTAATTCAGGAAAACTTGGCTTATTAGGCAAATCGGGCCTTGAATAGTAGGCTGAGAAGTGAGTTCTGGCTACTAGGTACGACATATATATATATATATATATATATATATATATATATGCATATATATATATATATATATATATATATATATATATATATATATATATATATATATATATATATATATATATGTCGTACCTAGTAGCCAGAACTCACTTCTCAGCCTACTATGCAAGGCCCGATTTGCCTAATAAGCCAAGTTTTCATGAATTATTTGTTTTTCGACTACCTAACCTACCTAACCTAACCTAACCTAACTTTTTCGGCTACCTAACCTAACCTAACCTATAAAGATAGGTTAGGTTAGGTTAGGTAGGGTTGGTTAGGTTCGGTCATATATCTACGTTAATTTTAACTCCAATAAAAAAAAATTGACCTCATACATAATGAAATGGGTAGCTTTATCATTTCATAAGAAAAAAATTAGAGAAAATATATTAATTCAGGAAAACTTGGCTTATTAGGCAAATCGGGCCTTGCATAGTAGGCTGGAAAGTGAGTTCTGGCTACTAGGTACGACATATATATATATATATATATATATATATATATATATATATATATATATATATATATATATATATATATATATATATATATATATATATATATATATATATATATATATATATATATATATATATATATATATATATATATATATATATATATATATATATATATATATATATATATATATATATATATATATATATATATATATATATATATATATGACAATGTCAGACCACGGAGGAAAATGAAACAGGAATTTCCTTAAGTACTTTCGTATATTAAATACATCTTCAGAAGGAAGATTCCTTCTGAAGATGTATTTAATATACGAAAGTACTTAAGGAAATTCCTGTTTCATTTTCCTCCGTGGTCTGACATTGTCACATTCTTAATCACGTGTTTATTTTCGTGATATACACACACACACATATATATATATATATATATATATGTCGTACCTAGTAGCCAGAACTCACTTCTCAGCCTACTATTCAAGGCCCGATTTGCCTAATAAGCCAAGTTTTCCTGAATTAATATATTTACTATAATTTTTTTCTTATGAAATGATAAAGCTACCCTTTTCACTATGTATGAGGTCAATTTTTTTTTATTGGAGTTAAAATTAACGTAGATATATGACCGAACCTAACCAACCCTACCTAACCTAACCTAACCTATATTTATAGGTAAGGTTAGGTTAGGTAGCCAAAAAAAGCTAGGTTAGGTTAGGTTAGGTAGGTTAGGTAGACGAAAAAACATTAATTCATGAAAACTTGGCTTATTAGGCAAATCGGGCCTTGCATAGTAGGCTGAGAAGTGAGTTCTGGCTACTAGGTACGACATATATATATATATATATATATATATATATATATATATATATATATATATATATATATATATATATATGTCGTACCTAGTAGCCAGAACTCACTTCTCAGCCTACTATTCAAGGCCCGATTTGCCTAATAAGCCAAGTTTTCCTGAATTAATATATTTACTATAATTTTTTTCTTATGAAATGATAAAGCTACCCTTTTCATTATGTATGAGGTCAATTTTTTTTATTGGAGTTAAAATTAACGTAGATATATGACCGAACCTAACCAACCTACCTAACCTAACCTAACCTATATTTATAGGTAAGGTTAGGTTAGGTAGCCAAAAAAAGTTAGGTTAGGTTAGGTTAGGTAGGTTAGGTAGACGAAAAAAACATTAATTCATGAAAACTTGGCTTATTAGGCAAATCGGGCCTTGAATAGTAGGCTGAGAAGTGCGTTCTGGCTATTAGGTACGACATATATATATATATATATATATATATATATATATATATATATATATATATATATATATATATATATATATATATATATATATATATATATATATATATATATATATATATATATATAGTCAGACCACGAAGGAAGGATTAAGACAAGAATTTCTTTAAGTACTTTCATATTTCATAATATGAGTTCAGTCCAGAACGAACTGAAGCGTCGTCCTTTCCACTTCATTTCATGTACTGGTTGATGATTACATGTCAAAAAAAATTGTGGTATATGCAGGAACACTTGGCCTCACCTGCATGGTGACTGTGGTAGAGAAGGTAGAGGTGTCATACTCCCAGTGGTCACAGGGTTGGGTCGGGAAGGATCTTGCCTCCTCTGGGGTGGTGGTGAACTCAGGGCTCCAGGCCAGCCCCTCCACGGCGTCGTAGTCCCTCACTAACATCCTGCACTTGGACCTCTCCAGGTGGCCCCCGGCGTCCTCCCTGTGAGTTGCCACCACCGTCATCCTCAATGATTCTTATCTACAGTCTCAACTCTAATCAACCACAATTGTAATTTAATTTTTTGTTGTCTTTAAAAACGCCGCAGTAAACACCGCAGTTTCTCGTGAGCTTGAATGTAAATAGCGTAGTACCCCATGAGCCAGGGACCCCCCTTGAGGTAAATGGAAACAAACATGAACTCGGTGATATTGCAACCCGTCCTAGGACTGTATTTTCTAACATTTATTAATGCGATTATGTTGTTAACAGTTTTACATATTCAAATGACTAAATCACTTCCTGTCGTGAAATGAATCCTCCTCCGTCACTTCCCGGTAGTGAATAACGGGAGTAAATATGAATAATTATCATTATAATAAATTAATTATAGGTGAATGTTATGTCACAAATGATTGTTGATGCTCAACTGTGGACGAAAGCTCAAAAAATATAGATAATAATTAGCATTCTATAAATTTCTAATGTAACCAAAGATGAAGACTTGAGTGTTGCATCCTAGTAAATGGTCAGTCGTTGGCCTATATGAAGACCTCGAAAAACCTAACAAGCGCCTTTCCCCGAAAATAGGAAACCTTACTTCGGTCCGGCGTTAGATAACATACCAGGGAATGGAATAGTTGAGGCGCTGCTGGAGGGTCCAGGTGGAGTTTGCGAGCTGGGGGACGCGGCACCAGTGGTCCACCATGGGGTTGTAGAAGGCTCCTCCCAGGGAGAAGTACGGCAGAAAGGCCGCCCCTGCAACACACACACATGGTACGTTACCCAGACCTTGACGAAATGTAGGAATTTGCAGGTTTTATGTAGAGACTTCCTGCACACACGTCGAGAAATCAAACGGTTACGTCATCCTATTTGGCTAGTATGCTAGTAATTTTAACTTTTTATTGTAAGGAAATATTTGAGAGAGGTAATTAGACACCTATATATAAGAATTTATCAAAAGGAGCCAAGTCGGTAACACTATGTATCCTACTCTCTCTCTATATATATATATATATATATATGTGTAAATCACGAAAAATAAACACGTGATTAAAATTGTGAGTGTCAGACCACGGAGGAAAATTGAAACAAGAGTTTCCTTAAGTACTTTCCTATATTAATACATCTTCAGATGAGTCTCTCTCTCTCTCTCTCTCTCTCTCTCTCTCTCTCTCTCTCTCTCTCTCTCTCTCTCTCTCTCTCTCTCTCTCTCTCTCTCTCTCTGTATATATATATATATATATATATATATATATATATATATATATATATATATATATATATATATATATATATATATATATATATATATATATATATATATATATATATATATACAAGAAGAAAATACAAATTGCGTTAGATTTATACCAGTACTGGGTCAGGTGAAAAAACTAGTAGAATAAAGATAAATAGGGGACGAAGCACATTCAATGATTAATCGGGTGTAATAGGCCTATTATGTTGAGCAGTGTCTTCTAAGTTGGCATCGTTGTGTTCCGGTCTTGTCCTTACTCTCATGGTGGGTAGAGTAAAGCGTTCCGTAATTTGGGTATTCATAGTAGGTTGTTCTATTTTTATGTGGATTGCTTCAAGATCAAGATGTGGATTGCATTCCACAAATGCAGAATATAGAACACATGGCATAAATGCCACAAATATTAGACAGGAATAACTTTGCAACACCGCATAGGTTATACTCACATAGGAAATATGAACCAAACATGAAGATTGTCCACCGTCCCACTCCTAAGGTCTTGAGAAGGCTGTCGAAGTTGTCGTACTGCATCTTGGCCTTGGCAACACCAGCCTTGGCAACACTAGCCTTGTTAACACCAGCCTTGGCAACACCAGATTTGGCAACACAAGCCTTGGCAACACCAGCCTTGGCAACACCAGGCTTGTCAACACCAGCCTCGGTCAAACTAGCGATGGAGCATCTGGAAGATGTTGACTAAGGCAGGTGTTGAAGAAAACGTTGTCACTTCAAGAGTGCTGCTGCTCCTTGAGTTGCAAATGAACCAATCCACAGAAATGTATACGCCAGAACTGACGCTGGAGACACAGGTTTTAGCGTAATATCAATAGGGTGCCAGATTAATGGATCAGGTTCTGGCACTCAGCCTTGTTTCGCCGATCCGCGCTACTGTCACACCTGAAAAAGAAGAACAGCGTAAGACCAAGGTTGAAATAGAGTGAACCCCGAGTGTGAGGGAAACGACCACAAGATCATATCACATTCCAACCTCAAATCTTTCAAAACTACTTTACCAGTCTATTATCCGATACTACTTATACCGATGGCTTGCTATAAGCATCACACACATGTAAACACGAGGGAAGATTTTTCTGGCGGCGCAATAACGGCGCATTCAACAGTCGATTGCCAAAAGTCAGAGGAGTCGTTGGCATCCAGCCTCGGGAAACCCCGCCGCTGTTGTTCACGTGAAACAAAGCAGCATGGAGACAAGTTGTCAACGGCTGGCTGTCCGTCCAACAAAAATAACAGTATCAACAGCTATTATGGATTTGATGTATAAAATATAAACTGTTGTAACACCTCCCCCCCCCCCCCCCCCCGAATAAAAAAAAAGTCCACGTTATGTACTATTGAAATAATGAAGGCCACATCAAACTGAAATAGCCTAAACATATACCTAATCTATATATATACCATATGTATATATGTTGTTAAATATGACCGAAAAAGTAAGATTAATAATTCTAACACGAATTTTCTCAATATTTCTTATGTTTCTTTTTACTGTCGATGGTAATTGAAAAATCAATTCTCCAAAATTCATTTTTTATTTCTAGTCTAACGCGACGCTTGAACGCGTTTCGTAATAACGTATTACATTTTCAAAGACTTTAGTTTACACACACACAACTGTAACCTGAAAACACTTAACAGAGTTTCACTTATTCTAACGCTAAACAGCTTGTCTTATATACTCGCATTTGGGTGAGGTGATATGTTGCAACAGTTTTGGATGAGGTGAACAAACTTTTGACCAACTCAAGACAGAACACGGTGCAATGGGTATAAATTGGATAAGTGAGAGGGAAGAATGGAAGTAACTGCAAAGGGCCTATTGGCCCATACTTCCTCTTGATGCTTCTATATTGGTACGGAGTCTTGAAGTGGGTAGAATATAGTTGTGCATTAATTGGCTGTTGATTACAGCCAATTAATGCACGTAAGCCTCACACACTGGGTTAATATAGAGTTGATGGGATAATTGGGATTGAAGTGAAGGCGTATTTTCTTTTCTAACAAGCTGGGTTATTGTTCTACACGTCATTGTTCTGCTAATGTAGTCTACATGAGGTCAAAAGAGGGTCACATAACTATACTCGTCTCGAAAGCTGGTTGGTCACACTTGGAGTGTGAGTAGTCCAAAGATACTGAAAGAAAATAAATTATGACTTAGTTTTCAGGAAAACAAGTTAAAAGACAACCGATACATTATCCTTTTAGTCTATAATTAATACTATAATAATAATAATAATTATTATTGGTATTTTTTTTTACTATGGATGTTTCTCACACGTATTAGTTTTCATCTTGTTGCCTTAACAGTAGTCTGCCCAACTGTCCTCACACTTAATACATCGCAATATTGATGCTACCACAACATCAACATTATGTTGTTCTATTGAAATTAAAACTACAGTAATATTGACGCTTCCTCGGACCAATGACCATCGGTGTGTAGTTCGAGGGGTTTGCCTGGGTTCGAACGGTTAGGAAGTGGTATAGGCAAAACCACTTCAAATTTAACGCTCGTTAAATGGTAAGAGGAGCCACGTGGCGACCAAGATATTCCAGTGAGATTCGCCATTCGCTCGCCAGAGGGTGAGGTTGTTTCGGCCTTGCTCCGGCAGTCTCTACCCACCGAGTGTTGTGAACGGTTGTTGGTGGTGACGCTGCGGGGCCCCCGCGACCGTGGTGTGGGCCTGCACGATGGGGTTGCCCTTGCCCCCTGTGAGGAGGACGTTATCGGCGGGGTTGGAGTTCTCCGGTCTGGTGGTTTATCCGGCACTGGATGTGGCGTTGTTAGATGTCATGCATGTTGCAGTGGCCAACGTGGGTGGTGTCATGATCATCTCTAGCCACTAGGTGGTGGTGAAATTTCACTCCATAACTGTCTTCACAGATTTTGTCAGGCGTTATGACCGGTGCACCTTTACGTTACGACGGACGCACCTTTATGTTATCTGGGGATGCTGGGACAGGCAGTTTCGGATCGCAGTGTTTCACTGACTTATGTGAGTGTGCATGGTGCGACTTTTGAATTTCCGGATGACCTGTTGCGTCGTTTTTTGGCAAATCATGACGTGTCTTGCGCCTCCGACTGAATGTGATTTCCTCTAGGCGGCTGAAGGGCGTGCTGAATGAGACGAGGAATCTTACTATGCAACTTAAGGCTGATATCCCGTCCTCTGGTGCTAATGGGGTTCTCCATCCAGTGTTTTTATGCTGGTCAACCTCACACTTGTTTTAGGTGCGGCTTGTCGGGCCACCTGGCTGCGGTTTGTCGTACTGGAGTTGTGGAGAGAGGGAATCTCTTTTGGACGGAGGATTTTACCCCTCTGGATGTTGTTGTTTCAGATTCAGCTACTCGGAACAAAACGTTCAAAGTAGCACGGGCTATGATGAGCCCGTAGTGGACTTACTTGGCACAGATGTTGGGCTGTGTTCCTCTGGAGGTCCTGGAGGCTTCTGTACATATGGTGCGGACATGGGTGCTCTACCGAAGAGGCTTATGGATGGGGGTCTGTCTGCTGTGGGGAGCCCTACTGTGGTTACTGTGCCGATTTTGTCAGTGGTTTCTGCAGACCACCCTGGTGGCACTGCGTGGAAGCTGCGTGTGTGGACGTTCCTCCTCCTTCGGCTGCGCAGGACATATGGCGATGTGGTACCGATGCGGTACCTCTAGTGGTACCGGTGACTGTCATCGGCCGTGTGTGATAGCGGTGTGCTGTCTGGTGCTCTGGGATCTCTGCTGCCTGTGTGCGTTGGGCCGCCAGAGGGTGCCACAGTCAAGGGGCTGTGTGTGGTTCCTGATGTGCGTGTGGATGTTCACGACGTACAGCCTGATGTGGTGGTTGCTCCAGTGCCTCCGGTGGTCTCTGCGGCTGATGGGGTGCGCGACACTGGGGCAGTTGCCCTCGTGGTGGTTGCCCGCTCCTCTGGTTGGGCGGCTCTGGCTGCCATCTCATCGGTGGATGTCCGTCTTTCTCGTTTGCAACTGGAGGGTTTCAGTTCATATGACATGCCACCTGACCTAAAACGTACAAGGTCTCCCGCATCGCCACTCCCTATGGGTGTCGTATAGGTGGACGTGGAGGAATATATGAGAGTTTGGTGTCCTTTGAGGGTGATGTTGTTGGGGTGGCTGGGGCTCCTGTGGTGCCTGTCGTTGGTAAGGATGTGGTGGTGGTGGACGTCCCCGTGCTGGGTGTGGGGGGGGGGGCTTCCTTGCCTGTTGCTGTATCTCCCTTCCCCCCCCACCCCCCCCCCCCCCCCCCACCCCGAGCCCTCGGTTCCCGGGTCCCCGGGGTGGGGGATTGTTGCCCCTGGTGTGGTTAGTGGTGACGGGCGGAATTTGGTCCTGTGTTGAAGAAGGACACCGTGAAGAAGATCTTCGTGCAGTGAGACCCCGTGAGGGCGGACACGTACCGTGAAGAAGGTTCCCATGAAGATAGAGTCTGAGCAGCCTACTATTGCGGTTCGCCTCCAGGAGTTTCATTCCGAAAGGCAGGCGTGGGGGAAATAGCATTTCATGGGATGACTACCCTTGCGCATGTTTTGTTTTATTCGCTTTGTTTGAGTGTGTTGGTTTTTGTGTTTTGGGTTCGATGTGTTGTGGTATGGGCTGTTGCTGTACTGTTGTTGTGCGTGTGTCATGTGACAATGGGTGTTGTTTTGATTACTCTGTCTGCCCAAAATTATAATTTTTTGTTGTAACAATGTTTTTGGGCTGCGTAGTTTGCGCTGTTTGCACTATTTTACCTGTACATATATACTGTGCTGCGTGTGTGCCTGGTATTTATCTGTGTTAGTAGGTGAGACTGTCTTCCCTTTGTGGAGGTCGGTTGTGTGTGTTAAGTGCTGTGTATATATATTTCTGTGGAGCGGTGTGGTGGTGGGTGTATAAGCTGTGCTTACAGGTGGGTTTCGCGGCCCCAGGTGCACGTCTGTGCCCGGTTCCCTGTGTTCTGGTGTTTCTCTATCTGCTCTTATTCTGTACGGTTTTGTTTGTTGCTATATGTGTTTCTATGTTCATGTGCTGTAGCTTGTCTTGTTGTGGTGCTCCGGTGCCTTTTCTTTTTCATTACTGTATTTATGCCCTGTTTTGTCAAAATAGAAAAGCTATTCCAGTCAGTTCTCTCATTTTAACTCTACTTAAAAATGCTCACTGATGAGTTATTTGTGAACTAATGTCATAAACAGGATATAAACAGAAAACATGAAATTGTGAAAATAAATATCTCCAATTTACAGTGAGATTTCTTTAGTTGCGAATCAGAATTGATTATGTGACGATTGATAAGGAGCTTTAATTTAACATTATTCAGATTCGTTATCAAAATGTATGTCGTATTCATCTTTGATGCGTTACTTTGTCAGATAAAAACAGAATCATCATAACTAGAAGACTATTGAAGCCGACTTCAAAACACACCATATTTACCTTATTTGTTTCATTAACAAATATGATTTTAGTTTAATGTATATGTTCTCAATATTTTAATATAGACCCATTCTCTCAGGGGCCAGATTCACGCACCCGGAAGCAAGAACGGCGAGGGGAAACTGTCTAGATGTTGCTGTGATCGACAACCAATTGACTTGATCTGACCTGAGTGAAGTACCCATCATAAATCTTTAAATAAATTTAACTCAGTCATTTCACACACACTTCACCTTTTAACAAACTTAGTTATACAAGAAGACATGAAATTGCATGTCTACTGCCTATTAGTGCTGCCACATGCGCCGTCGATGCACATGTGGCAGCACCTCGGGTCAATGACCGTCGACACTTCCCGGAACGACACAGACTAAAATTATCTGGAGGTCATTGTCCACAGCAGGTGGCGGCCCGGCAACAGTTTGCAGCTGAGCCTTGGCTGTGGTGAACTTCA